TATGGACACTTCTAGGCTGGTTAATGATGAACATTACAGGCGTGATGGGGTGGGGGTGGGGTGGGGTGGGTGGGAGGGAGGGTGTATCTACAAAATAACAAACCGCTCCTAAAGAACGGAACTACACAGCCAATTTAGGCTGAAGGAGTTGCATGATTATTACGGTTTGAGTCCAAGCTGTGAGAGAAGCTCAACAGTCTCATCCTACAGGGTACCAGACAGACAGGTATATTTCATAAATGTACCTAAGGGGTACCTGTTTCTAACAAAGTTATTTGCCCTAATTTCTACTATTAGACATATTGTATCATGGCGTCCAATGCTACAATGACCGTCAAACTGTCAACATATCGTTCTTACGTGGGTGGATGATATTGATTTTGTCTTATGGATGGAAAGATGAGATTCGTATCACCACTTCCTGTCAAGCAGGGCTCCTTTGCACAAAGTGCTCTTAGATCTATAGTTATCAAAATTCTGTGTTAAAGAATATACGTTAAACTACAATTATGACGAACTCAAAGGACCTATGATATGAGTTTGTTCTACGCTTTTCGACTAAAATAAACAAGTGGCCGAACCCCAAAATATCTTTTGTTATGCGTCACTTCGTTAAAACGTAGTTCACTGTAAGTAACGATCGTCTTAGATGGTGAGGTAGCCTAGTGGTTAAAGCGTTCGCTCGTCACGACGAAGACCCGGGTTCGATTCCCCACATGGGTACAATGTGGGAAGCCAATTTCTGGTGTCCCCCACCGTGATATTGCTGGAATATTGCTAGAAGCGGGGTAAAACTAAATTCACTCACCCACTGACTGGAAATCGGAAAATAAGGTTTGTTTTGTTATTGGCGAATCTAGTTTCTACACCCTTAGCCAAACACAAGTTCCTGTCATGGGCTCATTGTACGTGATCTCTTTAGTCTATTAGTCTAAAGGGACTTCCATAAAACCCCGTGAACAAGGCCCTCTCTCTAGTCCCTGAACCGATTATTTTTCGTTCTGCCTAGCTCTTTCTGAAATGCCAGACCGCCTCCGTGGTGTAGTGGTTAGAGCGTCCGCCCGGAGAGCGGAAGGTCGCGGGTTCGATCCCCCACAACGTCATACCAAAAGACGTTAAAATATGGTACTTGTTGGTCCCTGCCTGGCGCTCGGCATTAATTGGTACAAGGACTGGTGGCGGCTCGGAGTCAGTATAATGTGTCTGAGTGGGGTATTCCTGCTTCACTGCGGCATGGTATGTCAGTGGGCTAGCACTATAAAACCAGCTTCAGTCTGGGCTAGTACAAGCATCCGCACATACACACGCATGCACGTCGTCATATGAGCGAATATTCTCAAGCACGACGTAAAAACCCAATTTCACCTCACCTCACCTTTCTGCAATGCCAAAACCCTAAATGAAGTCGAGATTTCCTCATGTTTTAAATCTCCCATCTCACTGGGGCTCCTTTTCAATTAAAAGGAATTATTAGTTATATATTTAGAGACTAAACGTTTGTCTGAATGCTCAGCAAAGCGTTAACGGGAACACCTGTAAACATCACTTGCACAGCTTACCCACCTCAGCCGACCAACTCGGACAAATGCCCATACAATGCCAACAGGTGCCCTGCACGTGCGTCTACTTGCGCAAGAGAAACTGACGCGCAGCACCCGTTTAGACCGAGTACCGTTATCGCCTTGTCCAAGATCAATATTAAACAGCTCCTGTCAGCGGCTACAACTCAGGGCACGGGCTGTATTAGTCAAATCAGTAAATAACACAGAGTGAGACCTGGTGGTTTGGCTTGTCTCACTCGAGGTGGCGTGTTTCCCTTTAACAAACCGTTATTACCAGCTATCATCACAACTGTCATGTCGGGGGCGCTCTGTGCTTGTGCATGGCCGCACTCGCAGACCCAGCTGCGTGTTTGAGAACCGCCGCTCGTGGCAGGGAATCGAATACTTGGCTTTATGTTTACTGCTGATGAAACTGAACAAACAAGCATTGGTATTGATGAAAACATGTCAGCCGGAGGTCCGTGGAGAGGGTGGACTGGTTTTGTGTTCTTGAACGGGACGAGTTCGTATTTGACATCAACAAACCCGAATCATTGGTCAAAAAGACCAGAATATCCCCAAAACGGTTTTTTTCAGAAGGTATTGGGTTGTTTGTTAGTTTTACGCCGCACTCAGCAATATTCCAGCTTTAATGCGGCGGTCTGTAAATAATCAAGTCTGGACCAGACAATCCAGTGATCAGCAGCATGAGCATCGATCTGCACAATTGTAGAAGGTATTGGGTATTTGCTGAGCTCAAACTATATAAACTCTAGCTATTGATGATGATGATGATGATGAGTGAGTGAGTATAGTTTTACGCCGCTTTTAGCAATATTCCAGCAATATCACGGCGGGGGACACCAGAAATGGGCTTCACATATTGTACCCATGTGGGGATGATGATGATGATAATGATGATGATGATGATGATGATGATGCTGATGCTGATGCTGCTGATGATGATGATGGTGGTGGTGGTGGAGGTAGTAGTTATTATAATGATGATGATGATGATGATGATGATGATGATATGATGATGATGATAACGATGATGATGATTGACACACAAACTCACTGAACACATTCTAATACACGGACAGACACAGCACTGTTTGAGTGATATATCTGTTAAGCCACTACTTCACGTTTTAATATAAAAGAAAGGTCGAGCTGTTTATGAGATCTTATGTTGCTGTGGTCGACATATGTGAGAAGCACTCATCTGCATGTGTTCATGTGTGTACCTGCACGTGTGGATACACGTGCATGCACCTTTCTGGCCTCTGTCTACAGAGGCGGTGTTCTTCCTCCCATTACTGCGGCCTTTACAGGTGACCTTTACCTTACGTCCACGTGTTGAAAATGAGGCAAGGTACACATGCACTTAGTAGGCGGACAGGAGGCCTGACACATGTGTAAATAGAACATAAGTGAGATATGCCTCGGTAAAAAAGTCCATATGTCCATTACGGGTCAGAGTGGGCCAGCACATATGCCACTAAATCAGTCCATACCCCGAGAGTGTATTAGTGTTCGGTAATGTGAGTTTAGGTGAGCTACAGGTGACTTGGGCCTGTCTACAAAGCCGGCGCGATGGTTCAGGTGAGGTGAGGTGAAATTGGGTTTAACGTCGTGCTTGAGAATATTTCGCTCATATGACGACGTGCATGCGTGTGTATGTGTATGTGCGGCTGCTTGTACTAGCCCAGACTTAAGCTGGTTTTATAGTGCTAGCCAACTGAGATACCATGCCGCAGTAAAGCATGAATACCCCACTCAGACACAGTATACTGACTCCGAGCCGACCAGTCCTTGTTGTACCCATTAATGCCGAGCGCCATGCTGGGACCAACAAGTACCATATTCTAACGTCTTTTGGTATGACGTGGTCGGGGATCGAACCCGCGACCTTCCGCTCTCCGGGCGGACGCTCTAACCACTACACGATGGCACCTTCGTCATATCGAGTAGGGTCTTACAAAGGAACACCGAAAACATCAAGTCTTAAAATCGGAAATCATTAATGTCTCACGACATATATAGTCAGATCTTATAAAAAGACACCACGTTCCACGACATAATTAGTCAGTGTGAGTGAGTTTAGTTTTACGCCTCTTTTAGCAATGTTCCAGCAATATCACGGGGGACACCAGTAATGATCTTCACACATTGTGCCCATGTGGGGAATCGAACCCGGGTCTTCGGCGTGACGAGCGAACGCCTTAACAACTAGGTCTTAACCACCACCACCACCACCCCACCGCCCTATATAGTCAGATCCTACAAAAGGACACAAGGTCCCCCGACATTCATGGGTCTTGGAAAGGGTCCACATAACCATTAGCAGTGACAGGTAAAGGTAAACATCCAAATAGATATTATGTATCAATTATTAACTCTTGATGACGAAACCACAAAATGTTCTACAAAACTGGCTTCAAATAAGCAACCAAAACAACCATCCAAATCTAATTTGCACTTCCTAGCATCGATGGGAGGGATGTTTGAAATAACAACAGCACTCAGAGGTCACTCCACCTTCATCTCTACAACGCACGCACACACAAACACACGCGCACGCACGCACGCACTCACCCTCCACGGGGCAGGGAAACAATAGTTCCATAGGCATAACAGCCGGACTCAGAGGTCACCCCACCCCCATCTCTACAACGCACGCACGCACGCACGCACGCACACACACACACCACTCTCATCTCCACAACGCACGCACGCACGCACACACACACCACCCCCATCTCTACAACGCACGCACGCACGCACACACACCCCCATTCTACGCACGCACTTACGCACGCACGCACACACACCACTCTCATCTCCACAACGCACGCACTTACGCACGCACGCACACACCACCCCATCTCTACAACGCACGCACACACACACGCATCTCTACAACGCACGCACGCACGCACACCACTCTCATCTCCACAACGCACGCACTTACGCACGCACGCACGCACACACACACACCACCCCCATCTCTACAACGCACGCACTTACGTACGCACACACACACATCTCTACAACGCACGCACTTACGTACGCACGCACACACACACACACATCTTACAACGCACGCACTTACGCACACACGCACACACAACACTCTCATCTCCACAACGCACCCACCCTCCACGGAGCAGGGAAACAATAACATACAAGTCCCAAGGTACTGGCATAATCACGTTTAGAACCTAACACAATAGTAACAGTATTGCGAGAGCCGCCCACACGCTCCAGTTTCACTACGGATGGAGATGCTGCTGTTACTGCTGCTGCCTCCTGGCTGGTAGAACGCCCACGGGAGGTAGTGCAAATAGAAATATAATCAGGTTTACTGCAGGTGATGTGTACCCTGATTAAAGGTGCAAATACATGCCTGGTGTGCTTCAGCGGTTTCCTAAAATCAAGCAGTAGTCAGTAAGCAACCTTTTACTACCGTGGGGGCGGTGGGGTAGCCTAATGGTTAAAGCGTTGGCTCGTCACGCCGAAGACCCGGGTTCGAATCCCCACATAGGCACAATGAGTGAAGCCCGTTTCTGGTGTCCCCCGCCGTGATGTTGCTGGAATATTGCTAAAAGCGGCGTACAACCAAACTCAGTCAGTCAGTTTTACTACCGTAGTGTTGAAATTACAGATGGTTGATTCATGTTGTCATGGTACTTTGACGAAAACCTATAGGTGAGTGAGTATAGTTTTGCGCCGTTTTTGCAATATCAGCAATATTGATGCATGGTGCACTTTGAGATAAGGGTTCAATGAGCGGGACAGAATCAAATCACTGTTCCGTGATATCTATTCGAATGCGGGAATACGTTTAGCACCCGCCGCCGACAACGACCCCGACATTAGCGGTATATCACACTCATTCAACTGCTGACAGTCGTGAATGGAATAAATTTACCATATTAGGTCATTCTGTGACTTGTGTACCCATTGACCCTACAAAACCATCCAGCATTTCAGGTACAGTCTTCGGATCAACTTGCCCGAACTCGCGTCGTTTCGTTAACGAGATCTGGATAAGCTGGCTGAGCCATCGATTCGCCTCGCGGTGATGAATTACCCAAATTAACACAGGATTTGCTCAATTTCATACAAGAATTACCAAACGTATTAACAGGAATTACCTGTCAGTTTTTAGACATAATCTTAATTGCTGTATCGATCGACGTCCATGACTGAACATGATAATATGAATATACTAATCCAATGAATATACTAATTCAGGTACAGTAATTACCTGGACAAATACATAATTCTTATAAGTCTCACATCATCAGGGGGCGGTGTGGTAGCATTGTGGTTAAAGCGTTCGCTCGTTAGGCCGGTTCGAATCCCCACATGGGCACAATGTGTGAAGCCCATTCAAGTGTCCCCGCCCTGATATTACTGGAATATTGCTAAAAGTTGCGTAAAACTAAACTCACTCACTCTCTCATATTATCAGGGGCACATGTGCGTCAGGACCTGTGAAGATCCGGGGTAGAATAGGTCTTCAGCAACCCATGCTTGCCCCAAAAGGCGACTATGCCTGTCGTAAGAGGCGACTAACGGGATCGAGTGGTCAGGCTCGCTGACTTGGTTGACACATGTCATCGGTTCCCAATTGCGCAGATCGATGCTCATGCTGTTGATCACTGGATTGTCTGGTCCAGACTCGATTATTTACAGACCGCCGCCATATAGCTGGAATATTGCTGAGTGCGGTGTAAAACTAAACTCACTCACTCACATGTGCGTCAGTGGTTTAACGCGCAGAAATTCGCTGTTCAGAGTTGCGTCCCTTGGGGATGCCAACAATCCATGGTCATTGGTTCGAATCCCGGTACTTCTATAGATCGTGTTACTCGCTTTCTCCATTAACACCCACGACCTGCATGCTTAGGCTATACTCCCAGAAGAATTCGACGAAATGATCAAACTGGAATATAGTCCAAAATGGCAATAAATCCAAAGCACTCATTCACTCACTCATACCACCAGATCATCCCTAATTACGTTAAATACTCAATCGGGGACGTCTCCGACGGCTGTCCATCACGACACACGCATCTGCCAACAGTACCACGCACGCAACGTTGTCGGGATTTAGGTTTGAAAACTCCATCCTTCCTGCAATTCTCGATTCGTTTCAGAAACTCTTAACGCATTTCAATACTTACTTGTACATTATTGCAAGTAAACATGTTAGACGAACTTAGAACTACCTTGTTTTATTGATACGTTGATAGCAATAAAAGTGGTTAATGCAATCAAAACATCGTTACCTCACCCAACCTCCTCCAGAAGAACATCGAACTTTTCCAAATGACCTCATTTGAGTGGTATGGGTTTTAAGATGGTGCTTTTATTGATTTCCGGGCAATCAATTCGAGCCCAGCTCTGAGTTACCGGGTACTGGCAGTGACAAATTACAGAACAAATCAAACTAGACATTGCCACCTGCACAGATTCGTTTCAAGATTCTGCGAAAACGACCTCTACTTTGAGTGAGCTCCCCGAATAAGGCCCCTCAACTCCACACCCTTTGATGACGGTGTCGATAGCGATGTTGACGCTATAAATTAAGTTCGAATCAAATCAAACCTTTCACTACAGCTGCAGATATTTGTTCTAAGACCCGAACCTCACTGTACAAATTTCTTCGGCGAGGTTTCTTTCATAAAACGCGCTTCGAACTGAAGATTGTAGGCGATGTCGCTGTCGATGGTGATGGCGATATAGTGGCCGAAGCCGCAGAACTAACGAGGCAAGGGAATCGATTGATTACAAGATCTGCCTGGACAGATTTTCTCATAATAGCGATAAAGCTGCGTCCTCGACGTCCCATTCTCCATCATCACGACATTACCACATCATAACACTGGTTTCGTGGCAAATCAAGGGCTATTTCTTCCGATAAGTCGTTACAGGATAACGGTAAACTATCTCTCCAACGTAATTATGTACATACCATTTCGGCATTAATGTCCTGTTTGCACAGCGATGTTGTGTTTTGAACGCCTGAAGTAAGCCCGTCTTGCTCATCCAATACAACACGCTATATAATAACAGGAACGGCTTAGGTTTAATAACGCACATTACACCGAACACGCCGATTCCATCATCATGTCAGACAAAAACACGAAGCGTTTAATAAGCCTTGCATAAAAAAAATGGTGTCTCAGGTATTAATACATTTTGTTTGAGCACGACATAAAGCTTCGCACGACATACTGTGTCCAATAACGGATCCTGAAGTGCTTTCGCAATGCCAATGTGTTTTTCGAAATAACTGCGTGTATTACACAATTTCTTTCAGAATTCTGCACTTTAAGACGCTGGGCCTAGATTTTCGAAGCTCTCTTAGCGCTAAGATAGTCGTAAGTGCCATTCATTAACATTAACTTACGACTATCTTAGCGCTAAGAGAGCTTCGAAAATCTAGGCCCTGTTCATCAAATCAGTGAGTGAGAGAGTTGGGTTTAACGCGCGTTAAATCCCTGCTCAGCCAAATAAACGAACAAAAATCCAGAAAATATCATTCAGACGCGTTGAGAAACATAATGATGTTGTTAGGGTGTTGGTTGGGGGTGTGGGGGTGGGGTGTTATTGCTGGTTGGGGTGGTGGTTGGTTAGTTGAAACAAAAACTTCCAATGCTTATGTAGTTTTATTATACAGTCTTATTTCAGACCTTGAAGTATTGACACTCGATTGGCTCCTTTTATCATATCTTATTGATATATTTAAAGATTTATTTTCTTCAGACTATGTTCATTTCCGAGACTACATTTTAGTTTAATGCTTTATGTAACTGCAAAAGGAGCTATGCACTTGTTACTTCACTCTCAATTTCTGAGTGCGGTGAAATGGCCACCCCATGTTCCTTACAACGTCATGTACCACTCATTGTTAAATACTCATTAATATGATGCATGTAATATTGTCGACGATGCCCGAATCAAATACATTACCGTTCATTTGGCTACCACCAGTATTGCCTATTATTTCTTTTGCGTGGGCAGTTTCTTCACGATACAATAATCATATAAACTTAACAAGTAATAATTCAATCTGAAATCGATCACAATATTACCGTCTCGAACCTTTATGACGAGCAAACAAAATCCTGCTATATATTTTCAGATTACCAAAAGGTATTGGAAGCAACGTAGGATAGCGCATGCGCAGTTCAGTATCACGTGTACACATGATTGGCAGAACGGTTCGTTTTTCTCTCAAGGGCTATTCCTCTTCATACATACTAAGCAGAAAAAACAGACCGCTCATCGACCGGCGGAATATATCGCCTGCCGCAAGAGAAACACCTGCTGGTTGGATTTGTTGAATGCGGCGAAGAGAAAAAAACAACTATGCCATACAGTTTGGCGCTGGGTTACCAACAAAGTGTTGGATCTGACAAAGTGGCCGCTTTTCAATGTAACCGATACATCACTTCCGGCTAACCTAAATATATAGGTCATCTGGCAAGGAATTGGATTCACTAGTATTTCTAGTTCCCGTGACTTTCCCATTTACAAGACCGTGACTATTTTATAAATATTTCTTGCTGTGAAACTGTTTATATTTCTACTCAGCGTAATCATAATTTGTAATAACCGTAATATTGGTTTGGTTTTTTTGTTGTTTAACAACGCGCTCGACACTATTCCAGCGGCTGGCCGGTAAATAGTCGAGTCTGGACCAGGCAATCCGGTGATTAACATCATGAACATCGGGATAAACGAGCTTAGGCGAGGGATCTGTTTTAAACGGTTTAAAGTCGAATCAGGCAACGTCATGACTCCATTGCTGCTCTAGGTGAGGTGAGGTGAGGTGAGGTGAGGTGAATTGGGTTTAACGTTATGCTTGAGAATATTTCGCTCATATGACGACGTGCATGCGTGTGTATGTGTATGTGCGGCTGCTTGTACTAGCCCAGACTTAAGCTGGTTTTATAGTGCTAGCCCACTGAGATACCATGCCGCAGTGAAGCATGAATACCCCACTCAGACACAGTATACTGACTCCGAGCCGACCAGTCCTTGTTGTACCCATTAATGCCGAGCGCCATGCTGGGACCAACAAGTACCATATTTTAACGTCTTTTGGTATGACGCGGTCGGGGATGGAACCCGCAACCTTCCGCTCTCCGGGCGGACGCTCTAACCACTCCACCAAGGAGGCGGTCATTGCTGCTCTGGGCATTAATTAGGTCCCGATGAGGACCTAGGTAAATGATGTAATTAAATGTGAAATGGTGTTTATTGGCATACACTGACATACATTGGCCGTCAGCAAGCCGTGCTTGCCGTAAAAGGGAACTAGTGGCGCGCTGACTTGGTTCACACATGTCATCGTATCCCAGTTGAGTACATCGATGTTCGTGATGTTGATCACTCGATTGTCTGGTCCAGACTCGATTATTTACAGGCCGCCGCCATATAGCGAGGATATTGTTGAGTGCGGCGTTAAACAACAAACAAACAAAAACATATGAAATATGTTCTAAGCGGCACTAATCCCGACTAGCACCCTTGGCTTTAACAGCAAATAGATACTGGTGTTTGTGCCACCTATAGTTTAAGCTGTGCGAGTGTGTCTTCGGCGTGACGAGCGAACGCTTGAACCACTAGGTTACCTTACCGCCCCTCTCTAGCTTAGCGGAATCCGGTAATGGGCGACATCGAAGAAGTAGCTGAATGAGTTGTCACGGCGTAGATTGGCATTCCATATCTACAGGAGCGACACCGGCAGCGTCGACAGTTATCACATCGGCGTGAACGACAACTGTTACACATAATAATTGTCAACCAGGTGTTCCATTGTACTAGAAAATAGACAAAGAGGTCGCGAAGCAACACCTGGAGCTGGTTACTATTAGGAACATACAATACAAGAATAACGTCATAATCATAACTGAAGATGAAGAGAATCATTTAATTTAAATAAATCCTATTAATACCATATTTCTTCATTGAATTAATATCGTTTTGCATCGGTTGAAGAGTGAGTGTTGTGAGTGAGTGAGAATGGTTTTACGCCGCTTTTAGCAATATTCCAGCAATATCACCGTGGGTGACACCAGAAATGGGCTTCACACATTGTACCCATGTGGGAAATCGAACCCGTGTCTGCTGCGTGACGAGCGAACGCTTTAACCATTCGGCTACCCCACCGCGCCTGAACTTACAAGGTCGGTATTTTGAAGAGTTATCTATTGAATCCTGGAAGGGACATTGTCGCGTTGTCGCATTGTCGCCATTTGGAGGAATAGAAAAATAATGTTCAAAACGCGACATGTGACATCGCGACAATGCGACAAATGGCCGTGTTGTCGCATTGTCGCGCTTTGGTTAATTTTGCCTCATTTTGCTTGTTTTTGAGAGGGCGACAACGCGACAATGTCCCTTCAAGTCCAGCATTTCATAGTTATCTGTACTTGCTTCTCAAGCCGATCAAGATTCGTGTGCACACCAATCGTGACGTCAGTGCAGAATTAACAAAGGCTCCCTACAGCTCGCACCTTTACAATATTCAATGATTGTTTCATACGCAGCAACGAAGTCGTCTTTTCATCTGGACTGGTTCTTAGTTAGACCTGCGCTGCGTCATCTTTACCATGTATCAAGACACATGATCGGTAAAACCGTGGTGGTTCCCCGCCATAATATTGCCCAAAGCGGATTGGCAACAATATTCACTCTTGCGTGTGCTCTGTTGGCACTGTCAAGCTCCTAACAGCACACGTTACCATGGCTACTGAGTAAGAAGTGTGTAAGAGATCACGTGGCAATTGTGACTACGTCAGGTGAGAGACTATACATGCAGTTACATACAAAGACAAAGAAAGGCATACAGATGTCGAGTTTCGCTGCTTAGTATCACAAAAGACGCTTGGAAATGTTGAATAGTAATAATGTTGTCTCTTGTATTCAAGACGGACACAGCCACCATGGATGTGACGAAGACATCTCTCAAGAATGGAGATCATAAGATGTACGTCGAGTTGGGGTCTACAACGCGTTGCAGCTGGTGTTTTGGTGAGTGAGTGAGTTTGTTTAACGCCAGTCTTCGTATTTGCCTTTTACTGCGGATCAGCTTAATATGGGAGCAAATCCCGAAGTAATCCCGAATGTCCTGACTGACTGACTGACTGAGTTTGGTTTTACGCCGCTTTTAGCAATATTCCAGCAACATCAGGGCGGGGGACACCAGAAATGGGCTTCACACATTGTACCCATGTGGGGATAGGAACCCGGGTCTTCGGCGTGACGAGCCAACGCTTTATCAACTAGGCTACCCCACCGCCCCCCGAATGTCCTGACAAACAAGTCAAATAATAATTTGGACGAATTCGGAATTCGAGAACAACGAGCACAGTATTCTGCCACATCCAAGGGAAGTAACTCTGGTTTGAGCTGGTTTCACAATGGACTCTTTAAAGTTTATTAAAGAGGAGGCAGATATGTTTGTAGAAAATATTTGTTCAGCAAATGTCCAGGGAAAAATATTTCTTGAAAAATCTTTGGCAAAACATGATATTTTTCACCAATAGTTTGGGGAAAAATTAAGAACAAATTCTGCAAAACATATCAAAAATCCTCAATCCTAACACTACCCCCCACTCCCACCCCTCCAACAACCGACACCACTAAAATAGAATTAGACCGCAACAATTATTCATAAAAATAGTTACATAAATCCAAAATACAATCCGAAAATGATCGCCCCCTTACATGAATAGATCCCTCATGGTATTCCCAGCACATAACACCTCAGACGTCCATCATTGGCAGTTTTCCTGTTATGTCGAGTGCCCGCGCATATATCACAGCCCCACAGAGGAAGCTCACGAATTAACTATCAATATTTTCATTATCTAACAGGCTGTATTGTACGTTGCTCGCGATCAATGCGTACAACGGGACATTCAGCATTGTACGCCACACCTCGCTCTGAGAGTGATGAGCTAGCAGTCACAGTAGCGTTGTGGCTGCATTGTGTTTAGGAGATAACACAACGTGAATAAATTGTTGTTGACGTGATAACTGACGGTTGTTGTAGTGATGTTGTAGTGATGTTGTAGTGATGTTGAGGGATGCCGATGGACTGCTGGGCCTAGATTTACGAAGCTCTCATAGCACTAAGATAGTCGTAAGTTAATGTTAATGTATGCCACTTACGACTATCTTAGCGCTAAGAGAGCTTCGAAAATCTAGGCCCTGTTCTACGTTAACGATGCAGCTGTATTCCTGTTATACAGCTGTTATATCGGTGGTCGGTCTGAACCAGACATGGGGTTGATATTATGAGCATCGATCCACTTCTGAGGAATATTGCCACGGAATAAAGTTGCTGAGCCTTGTTTGTTTGTCGCTTAACGCCGCAATATTCCAGCTATACGACTGCAGTGTGAGTGAGTGAGTGAGCTTAGTTTTACGCCGCACTCTGCAATATTCCAGCTTTATTGTGGCAGTCTGTAAATAATCGAGTCTGGACCAGACAATTCAGTGATGAGCATCGATCTGCGCAATTGGGAACCGATGACTTGTGTCAACCAAGCCAGCGAGCCTGACCACCCGATCCCGTTAGTCGCCTCTTACGACAAGCATGGGTTACTGAGGATCAATTCTAACCCGGATCTTCACAGGTTACTGCAGTATGAAAATATGGAAACATGTGACATCATGAGCATCGATGGACACAAATGAATCAAACCAGTGAGACTATTCACCCTATAAACACAGTCATCGTGGTATATAGGGACGTAGATCAAATCACAAACCTGAACAGACAGATGTGCCTCTGAAGAGACTTCGTTAATATTTTCAAATTTACAAAGATCATTACTTGACACAAACTGGATTTACCCCGTGAAGATCCGAGTTAGAATTGATCACAAGCAACCCTATCTTGTCGTAAGAGGCGACTAACGGGATCTGGTGGTCAGGCTCGCTGACTTGGTTGACACATGTCATCGTATCCCAGATAGTGATAACCGCCTCCGTGGTGTAGTGGTTAGAGCGTCCGCCCGGAGAGCGGAAGGTCGCGGGTTCGATCCCCGACTGCGTCATACCAAAAAGACGTTAAAATATGGTACTTGTTGGTCCCTGCCTTGCGTTCGGCATTAATGGGTACAACAAGGACTGGTCGGCTCGGAGTCAGTATAATACGTCTGAGTGGGGTATTCATACTTCACTGCGGCATGGTATCTCAGTGGGCTAGCACTATCAAACCAGCTTCAGTCTGGGCTAGTACAAGCAGCAGCACATACACATACACACGCATGCACGTCGTCATATGAGCGAAATATTCTCAAGCACGACGTTAAACCCAATTTCGACTCACGTTACCCAGATACTGATGATGTCAATCCCTGGATTGATTCGTTCAGGCTCGACTATTTACAGATCGGCGTCATATAGCTGGAATACTGCTGAGTGTACCGTTAAAAAAGCAAGCAAAACAAACAAAAAGTCACGAAACGGAATTTTATGAATTTCAATTCCGACTCAATTGTAAAACGCAGTTAAATACACATGGCAGTTAAATACGCATGACTCTTTTTATTATACCGATGTAATAAAACATGCAGTATGGAAGCAGCATCTAAAGACAGAATTGTCCAAAGACGTCAACAGCGAGCGAGCGTGACGCCAACGTCATTAAGTCTCACGTCAACAACGTTGCCTGCTTTAGGTCAGTAATACCGCAGAGCACGTGAAATCGTTATCAAACACGTGCTCCGTATGGATGTATATGAACTAGCTAATTTAAACCATAGGGCAATAACTATTGATATTATACTCATGAGCTACACAGCGTATAATTAGATACGCATTTTGTAAAATTAGATTTAATCAAATCAATACAAAGCCGGTGCCACATTTGTCGGAGAGCTGGAATGTTATTGATTCTTGGGGTTACATTCCTGGAGAGATGAGAGGATTTTATACCACTGAAGATATTCTAACGCAGTATCTGGACGTTTTGTTAATGGTATTTCAGTCGTGTATTTAGAGTGAGTGAGTATGGTTTTACGCCGCTTGTAGCAATATTCTAGAAATGGGATTCACACAGTGTGCCCATGTGGGGAATCGAACTCAGGTCTTCGGCGTGACGAGCCAACGCTTTAACCACTAGGCTACCCACCCACCCCCGTATAGTTAGATGTCGCATCAGTATATTTTGATGTTATACTCAGGTATAAGATGTGTCACCACAGGGTTTGTGTGTAATTGTTTTCTGTTGAACAGCCGTTTTTCGGACGCTATACCACAATATGTGACTGCTATACCACAATAGGTGACTGCTATACCACAATATGTGACTGCTATACCCCAATATGTGACTGCTATACCACGCTGTAACACATCGTTATCACAAAAAAGTTTGGGTCGGTGGGGTAGCCTAGTGGTTAACGCGTTCGCTCGTCACGCTGAAGACCCGGGTTCGATCCCCACATTGATGCAATGTGTGATGCCCATTTCGGGTGTCTCCTGCCATGATATTACTGGAATATTGGTAAAAGCCGCTTTAAACAATTACTCACTCCCCGATTCCACATTGATATAATACAATCTTAGAATACGTCAAATATCAAAATTAGACTCAAAGTACAACGCAAACACGACACAGAGCATTAACACCGTGGCACGAAATGATTTCCATTCTCAAGAAACAGTGCTCTGAACTTCTTCCACCATTAGCTTGTATGGACAAACCGACCTTCAATGACCGCTACTCGTCCACGTTGTGCACATACCACGGAGTCCAGCAAGACTTAACGATACTAATCACAACGTGGTTAGCAACTCCTACAACATCGTAGCCACTGCAACATCGTAGCCATGGGTATCACAGATCCCAGGACAACGCTTACCAAACCTCCACAAATAGCTTAATTAGGATGCGTTCTCTCTCGCGACCAATCAGGCTGATTGTGATGTCGAAGCGCCCTTAAGCCTTCCCACGTTGGCAAGAATACAGTTCCATGAAGAAGACGCCCAGGGGATTTAAACATGATTATTTCATCGAACAAAATTGGTCTACATTCTGCTAGTCATTATGATGACACTGTATGCTTTGTGGAGACCTTGTTCAGCCCGTACGAGATGGACGTGGAGATCCCGGTGCTTATAATGGCTACAATTCGCATCGGCGAGCAAGGTAGTCATGATTGATAGTAGTCAGACTTGGCAGCGTAAATCCAATCAGTGAATTGTCAGTCGGCAAATCCCGCAGTAATCAGTTAACTGTACGAAATGTCGGTCAAGATTGACCGAGAGTTCCCTTGACTGGGACATGTCGCCATCTATCGGAGACAATCAGTACTATTACATCATGGGACCAGCTCTTTCAACATCCACTGCAATCGGTATTGACGGTATTGACGGTATTGACGGACGTTACTCTGTAATGTCATCACTGCCTCCGATTCTAGCTGTGTCATGGGAACAAACCCATCAGATTCTGGTGAGCGACCCAGAATAGACGTTTACGCACGTAATACCAATCACAGACGCTCTGACACCAGAAACATGGAGTCGGACTGGTGTTGACAGGCACCCGTCACTTAATGTAATACACAATCACAATACTTGTGGGCCTACAGTCGCTGGCGTTCATAAACACCATTGTGTTCTATGATATATTGTCACAGAGCTATTTACATGACATTACATGCAAAAATCATTGCTATCCGTTTGATATTTTGAGTGACATGGATTTAGGTGAAATCATTACTTTAAAATTGTCAGGTTTCCATAGCAACCCTACGTCATATAAACATTGTTGATGACGCCATAACCATGTACATGTATAATGACATCTTTCCCACAATGCGAAGATCTTTGCTATGCGTTTGACATATGCAGTGACACGGATATAGGTGAAATTATAGATTTGGCTTCATGTTAATTGTCTAGTTCCCATAGCAACGTTACGTCATATACATCCATTGTTGATGACGTCATAAAACAGGTATTATACCATCTCTTCTTGGAATAATGAAAACCCACATTTTTTTAGATTTTCTCAGAAAAACAGGTATAGGGAACAAGAAAATTACAACAAGAGAAGCGCTGTTGAATCCATCAATTCATGATCTGGCTGATAAAATTCCTAAATCAGTTTTGTTACTTATAAACTTCGTATACTCGAGTCATCTAATTCCTTATTCCGCGTAGCTCGTGAATTAGTACCTAAACTACATGACTGACTGACTGAGTTTGGTTTTACGCCGCTTTTAGCAATATTCCAGCAACATCACGGCGGGGACACCAGAAATGTACATCACACACACACACATGCACGCATACACACACACACATACGCACACACATTTATATGATCTTTGAAGACGTTTATGATTTCCTTTGACTGACTGACTGACTGAGTATGGTTTTACGCCGCTTTTAGCAATATTCCAGCAATATCACGGCTGGGGACACCAGAAATGGGCTTCACTCATTGTACCCATGTGGGGATTCGAACCCGGGTCTTCGGCGTGACGAGCCAACGCTTTAACCACTAGACTACCCCACCGCCCCTGATTTCCTTTGAAGTACGTCTCACACATATATATTATATATGTGTGTGTATGTGTGTTTGTATTCATGTGTGTGTGCGCGCGTGTGTGTGCGTGTGTATGCGTTGTTTGTGCGTGTGCCTCTACGTCTGTATTCTATCGCCACAGCTGATACCCAAAAGGTCCATTATCTACTTAATCAGCACCAATATTACTTAATGGCACGTCCGCTGTAGAGACGTAGGGCGAGCATCGCTGCATCTGCTGATTATCAGAGAGGATGAGAAAAGAGAGGATGTAAACCAATCCCACGGATAGGAACACTGGAATTGGTGTTATCGTGGAACAGATTCAACTTCTGCAAGACCCCCCTCAGAGAAGAGTAACCACTGTGAAAGATAAGCTAGTTCCCTGCAGAGCCGTCACGTAAATCTATATAACGTTACACAAAGCTATTTGCACGGACCCTGTGTACGAGGCGGGACGCTGGGGCACGATGGGTCGAATCCTCCTATTTAAGACGGTCGCTGTGTTGATATTTTTGTTTTTGTTTACTTTGTGATAATTTGGTGCCATATTTCATGTACATACTAGATGTAGCGGACCCGTGAAGATCCGGGTTTGAACTGGTCTACAGCAAGTATCGTAAGAGGCGACTAACAGGATCGGGTGGTCAGGTTCGCTGACTTG